TAGGTTACAATTACATTAGCAAGACCAATTATGCAAATTAGGCGATGAGGTCATTTAGCGACTTCTAGCGACTTTTAGCTAGAAGCGATTTTCCTTACTGTGGAGTTGGCAACACTGCTCAGCAGCACGACCCACAAAACCTATTAATGTTGTAAATTCACTCACAGTTGTTGAGCTCTTTCCCGGCTGCTCCTCAGAGAGGAAGAACTCTTTAAGGAACGCGCGGGATTTCAAAATAAGGGCTCTTAAAAGCAGCGTGACTTGAAACGACAGGAGTCATTCTAAAGAAAGATGTCTCCTTAACATGGATTTCTTATTCCAACATTTAAACTTAGATCATATTATTACATAACTGGACGTCTTTATTTACTAAAAATGACAGCTCACTTATTGTTTTTAATCTTTTTTCTATATTTACTTAAAGACCTCATATGCAATCTTTTGTCACTAGTGTAACTTTACTATTTTTAAATTTTAATTAAATTTTAATTTCAAAGCTTTTAAGCATTATTAATACCTCAGGCTCTTCATGCAAACAGAGTCAGAGAGAGTTATTTCGATCACGTTTGTTCATAATGTGATTGTTTACTTATTACCGTAACAACGACAATAATCAAAGAACAATTAAAAATTAGTAACGAGGCAATCCTTTATATCTTAACCCTTATGTGTAACCAAATTCAACAGGTGTAGACTTATTAAACAACGCGTGGGGACATGTATGACAGTTATAGACAGATATACTTGACAAAAGGAGCTTTAACAACAACAACAACAGCAATAAAAGCAGCTAGCATTCAATAATATTATCTTATTTTTTTTATTCATCATTTCATAAGAAGCTTTTAGTTAAGGTCACTGCCCCACTTGAGTGGTTCCAAATTGTGGTGGTTTTACACACTTGCCTAACACGTGAAAGACCCCCAGAGATGCAAATCCCTTTGGGGTTGTGTCAGGACGAGCATCCCACATAAAAATAAAGGAAGAAATTAAGAAATCATCCTTAAGGTGTGTGGAGAGGAGCAACAAAGTAGTGAAAAGAAATAGGTTTGCATAAAAATTAAGAATTGTTGAACACAGGAAAATAGATGCTCCTGCTGAAAAATAGTATTATCACTGTTTAAGGAAGTTAATTTGATTTGAAAGATCATATTTGTTAAGCAAAAATACAGAGAGACTGAAAGAGTCTGGGGCAAAACTGACTAGAAGAGAATAATAAAATAGGAATAAATGGGGATAGTAGATCCCTTACTGGATTATCAGCCTAATAAAAGATTAAAAGCTAAATAAGTTGAAAATGGAGCTGATTGAATTGAATAAATACAAGTGCAAAAAGGATGAATTGGATCTGAAGCATAAAATAAACTAGATCATAATTATAATATATACAAATTAATAATAGCAATAATAACAAATTTAAACTAATATTAATACTATTAATAATAACATAGCTGGGATGAAAACCAGATAAATAAATCACACAAACACATAATAAATGAAATAGGGAGGTTTGTGTGGTGTTTGGCAAATATAGAAGGTAGTGGTGATGATCTAAGAACATCTGAACAACTTGGTGCGGAAGGTGTGACAGAAAAAAATAAATAAGAGCCTATTTTGGTTAGAAAGAAGATACAAGAATCAAGATGCCATCAATAAATAGATCTAAGTGAAATGCAGGAGTGTAGAGGATTTCTAATAATGTCTCAGAGATTGCATGTCAAATGTATAGGGGGGTTTAGTTATCACTTAGCTTAGCTTTGCTATGTGTTGTCTTGCTGTTCATATGACTTGGTTTAATAAACTCTGTTCTTTGATTTTAATTGGATCTAAAAACTTGGTTACTTTCTTTAGCTGGCACACAGGTTTGTGCGGGATCGTCGCCTTAAGAACCCAAGAGGCAAGTGCTGGAGCCCACAGGTTCCTTACACGCCGGGTATAGCACAGACTGCTCATTCTGGCTGAAAAGTTATTGATATTATACATATCAATTACGAGCTCAGTAACAAAGAGCTCGTGGGCTGACAAAATTATTCCAAACATTCCAGTGCGCTTGGAGAGCAAGTGTTTTTAAAATAAGTAAGAGAGATACCTTTCAGCTGAAACCTGGGTGGTTTGTCTCTGCTGCGTCCTCAAACTGGCATGAAGAGCGAGCTGGTGGGAAAAGAGTTTGTTCTAGAGAAATATTAAACACATGACCATAAGAGGACGATTTCTTTGGCAGCACATTGTGAAATGTACTCCCTCAAGCACGGAGAAGAGAGAACGGGAAGAAACCACTGTTCCCAACGACTGGGCAGGTGGCTGTTTATTAGATGTTGATTAGTGCACCAGCCTTAGAGAACGATCAAAGGTCAGTCGCCACTGTCCATAAAGAGACAGTCCATGAAACGTCTTATATTTGCTTCAGTTATGTACACACTCGGTTTTCTTCAAGCTCAAAGGAAGTTTAGAGTACATGTGGTTTTTAAGTAATCTGGAGACCATTTAATGACCAGGCCAGTGTAAAAAGAAAAACTGTGATTAGCACAAGATCACATAACAAATGTTTACATTATGAACAGTGTTTAAACCCCCTAAATATTATGCATTGTACACATGCAATTCATCCTAATTAGCATAACTGGAGGCTATAAAAGCTTTATTTTTTTCACCAAACAACCAACATATGCTCAACCATAAGAATATAAGCCAGTGTAATTTAGTATTAGTCTGTGTATTTCATGACGTTATTAAAAGGTATTTACATTTGCAGTATGAGTCTAACATATGGAAGAATGCTGTGATATTCCCTGTGCCTGCATCCAGTTATCCCAAATTTCTAAAAGAGTTCAGATGGGTCACGTTCACATCAGTCATGATGAAAGTCCTGAAAAACTGGTGAAGTCAGAAATTTTAAGGAAAACTGAGGCTGTTGGAGATGAAGAAGATGTTACAGTAACTCAGATATTTCTTTTCCTGCTTATCCAATTCAGGGTCACAGAAAAGGCTGGAATCTACCCCAGCTGTAGGAGGGGAGGCAGGTTACACTTATAACAGGTCACCAGTCTGCCTCGGGGCTAACACAACTGCTCCTCGACTGGCTCCCCACAGCAGCTTGTGCTCCCACCCTTACATCATTTACCCTGAACACACATATGTGTCAGAGCAGGATGGAAACAGGAGCATCTTTAAACATGCAAGACTGGGACCAGTCGCAGTTCTCGATGATTTTGTTGAACGGTGAGATGAGCCCAAATTTCAATTAAACAGTCTGACACAATGATCACTGCTTTCAGAAAATGCACTCATACACAAGAAGTCACGTACTTTAAGGGACGGAAGGCAGAATTTTTTGAGTCTAATAAATATCTTAAAAGATTTACTGATTGAAAGCTGAACTTTGAAACAAACTATGAAGCTGCCAGCAGAGGAAGAGAAACTGTCCTCTTTGTGCTGACTAAGAGCTCTTAACGACCAAAAGCTTCTTACAGCACTGAACTCCTCTCTGAGCCTCAAATACTTGGATTTCCACAAGGACACAGACTACTTTGAGCATGCAACCACTAGGTGGCATCCAGACATTAATCTGTGACTCTGGAGTGAGTGGAGTGGAGTGGAGACCTGCTTGAGACTCTGCAACAAATTAAAGCTATGAATCTTCAGGCAGCAGCCATGCTCTATCACGCAGTTTGCTAAATATATATGTAACATTATATATACATTTTAAAGATTTTATTACATTTTTAAAATCTCTTGTAAACAACTGTTCTTTAGGGAGACGGAAGACATGCTCACTTAGCATTTTAGCCTCTTAAATTTAAAATAATGACAAAGTACATGAGCGGAGAAAGACTCTTGTTCTAAGTCTGCATGTTAGTAAGTATAGTTAGAGAAAGGTACACAGACAGTGTGAAATACTTACTTTTTTACTAAAGACAGTAAGAAAGTAATGCATGTATTTTGGTTTGAAGTGTTGTGAAATGTTGTGTC